GTTCAGCAGAATCTGTAAGAAAGTAGCACTGTTAACCATCTGTATTTCAAGGCTAATACATTGACTTACCTGTTTAACTTCTTAACTGTGCTTCTTAATCTACAAACTTAGTTGGCAGTTTTTATTTGGCGAATTACGTATCCAGAAGTGAATTCTAAATTAATTTACTTATTCTGAAAAAACAGTGGTAGCATTCTTTTGCTAAATGAAGGGGCAAACCAGCTATAACACATCATGTGGCCCTTAAAAGTGGTGTACCGACCCCCTAGAGAGGCATCTCAGCTCTATATTAATTTTGTAAAAAGACCTTGAGCACTTGGAAGCAGAACTCTCGCATGCTCAGTGAGGAGGTGTGTAAATGTGTTGGATGCATGAATTTAGATCTAACAAGTAGGAAACAGGAGCTTTACATGCCATGTCTTCCACAGTTGCAGAGGAACACCTCTGTTTATTCAGAATTAAAACCTGCAACACTGCCGTGAATCCTGTTACATGCCATGAAAAGTTACATGCCTGTGTCTACTGTCAAAGAACCGAGGAGGATTTCTTCTCTCTCTCTCTTTTTTTTTTTTTTTTTTTTTAAAACGCATCTTTTGGGAATAATTTTTGTCCTTTCTCCATAGAGATGTGCAGCATAGATCATTAGGGCATCAAAGAAAAGATCCAGCTTCATTTCTTGGTTCTTTCACTAGGGAAACTAAAAACTACATAGTTCCAGATGGTTCTAGTTAGGTCATCTTTCACTTTAGTAACTAAAGTGCCCTGACACAGGAGATCTCAAAATTAAATGGACTATAAGGAAAGTATAGGAAAGAACTTGAGACCGTAACATTGTGATTAAGATGTTTGCCTTCTTGCCTTTCCTCCTTGAGGGAGGAGGAGGCCTGGCTTCTGATCCCTAGCAAGTAATCTTTTATCATTTTATATGGTAGTTTTTCTTATGAAAGACATCATACCAATGGAATGTAGTATTTCTAAGGGCAGCTGACCAGGTAGACAGCATTTTGAAAATCCTTAAAGTTAGATGTTTCAAATTAAGGTATATATGTTTTATTTTCTCTGTCAACTCTTAAGTTACTTGAGACTCAGGAAACTTAAAAAAGACAGGTTGAAAATTAGCCTTCTGGGTTTTTTATAATTGCATTTCAGTGCAACTTTCTCATCAACCCTTTTGGCCTAAAGGCAATCATAGAATAGTTGAGGTTGGAAGGGACCTTTAAAGGTCATCTACTCCAGGCCTCCTGCAATGAGTAGGAACATCTTCAACTAGATCAGGTTGCTCAGAGCCCCCTCCAACCTGAGCTTGAATGGACCCAGAGATGGGTCATCTACCACATCCCTTGGGCAACCTGTGCCAGTGTTTCACCATCCTCATTGGGAAAACTTTCTTCCTCAGGTCTAGTCTAATTCTACCCTCTTGTAGAATCGTAGGATCATTAAGGTTGGAAAAGACCTCTAGGATCATCAAGTCCAACAGTCAACCCAACACCATCATGTCCCAAAATGCCACATCTACGCATTTTTTTTAACACCTCCAGTGATGGTGACTCCACCACTTCCCTGGGCAACCTGATCTGCTTAGTTTAAAACCATTACCCCTTGTCCTATAGCTACCGGCCCTGCTAAAAAGTCTGTCCCCATCTTTCTTATAAGCCTCCTTTAAGTACTGGAAGGCTGCAGTAAGGTCTCCCTGGAGCCTTCTCTTCAGGCTCAGCAACTCCAACTCTCTCAGCCTGTCCTTCTAAGAGAGGTGTTCTATCACTATGATCATTTTGGTGACTCTCCTCTGAACCTGCTCCAACAGGTCCATGTCTTTCCGGTGCTCAGGACTCCAGGTCTGTCTTTGATTGGAAGGAGCTTTCTATCCTAAATGTTTAGTGTTTATTAAAAGGTAGTTGATTTTTTCCTAAAAAGTTTTACATGTGTACCCATTTGTCATGGTGAGAAATAATAATTTATCTACAGAATCCTTGCCAACTTCAGTGGGTGTCTTTTGAAGCAGTAAGACACCCAGAAAGCTGGTTGAAGTTTTTAGCAGAATTGTTTTGTTGCTGGAGGAAAAACTTTGTTCAGAACCTGATTCTGTGGGCACCACTTGGTTTCAAGGAAGATGGAGAAGAAAAACTAAGTTTTCTGTGAGAAATTTCTGTTTACTCAGTTTTGCTTAAAGCTCGCTGCCTGTGACCCTTTGGGAGCTCATACGGTGGATTGCAAAGCTCCTGGACAATAGAAAAGATATCCAGGTCTTCAGGGAAGCATTTTACCAGGCTACTGCCAGACTGAAAATTAGAGGACTTCTGTTTTGTAAATAATACTAAAAACTTTTTTCAGATTTGTTAAAAAAAATCAGTTTTACGAACTTACTATTGTTTTCTGTGGGATTTTTCTTTCAATTTTTCTTTATCTAGAAGTTTTCTGTCTTGGTCAACTGCGCTTCTTGGACTAACTACTTTATGTGGAGGAAGAGTGACACCCAGTGGTTAAATAGATTCAGCCTAAGTCTGTTACAGGTTTCTCTCATCTCAGATTGTGCCTTTAAAAATTGAAGCAAAAAAAAAGAGCTAAAAATGAGTCCTTCAATAAATATGTTTCTGGCTGATCAAATGGGCTACAATTATTGTTTGTTTATCAAGAAACTGTATGTCACTTTATGCTATTTCAGTAATTGCTGCAAAGGTATTCATATTTGAAAGAATCTCTCTACACTCAGAAAAGGTGTTGCTGAATAAAAAGTACTTATCAGATCAAACAATAACCAGCTCTCTGAAAAAATTCACTGACTTTTTTGGATAAAATAGGCTCAGATTTACTCATTTTATCTGTACTACCACCTTTGGGTGACAGTTACTAAGTATTTCCCAGTGCTTATATAAAAAGTATGTTGTGTTTTAGTTATTTCCTGCTAGCAGCAACATTTCTATATAAAAACTAAGCTGTATTTCTTTTTTCACAGGATTACATGAATTCTTTTTCCTGCTTGTCCTAGCGTACTTCGTAACTGCTTGCATATATGCACAGTCCCTATGGCAAACAATTAAGAAGCGTGGACCTATGCATACTGTATTAAAGGTGTTGACAATTGCATTATTGTTGCAGGCTGGTTCAGCTTTTGCCAACTACCTGCATTTCTCAAGGTACCTTTGCTTATTTTTGCTTTCAGTCTTAAGACTAGAAGAACATTGTGTTGTAAAGATCGGTACAGGATCTTTCCTGTGGTGATTGTGACAAAACATAGGACTGACTTTTTAGAACTACATCATTGCCTAAATGCCTAAATTTCAGAAATAACACAAGTTTAAGACTCACTCACTTAAAAATACCATCTTTTTATTCTTTTATCAGTTATTCTAAAGATGGAATAGGAGCACCTTTTATGGGAAGTCTGGCAGAATGTGAGTATGCTCGTCTACTGTTTCTTACATATTCCTACACATGAATTTCTAGAATACATGAGTGAATGCTGTTGTTGGACTGTATTATGATCTTGGACCATATCACTGGATTTTTAAAATAAAATACTAAAAGTTGCTCTTCTGAACAACAGGTTTTATTCTTGATGTTTACAATAATGGTATTTAAAGTTATATAATTGTGATATTGCTTAGGATTTTTTAAAGGATTTTCTTGTCTGAAGATTCCATCCTACAAACACTTAAATGCATGCCTATCACATGAGTAAATGTTTCATTGGGGACATTGAAGGGTTTTGTGGAGTTTGCATGATCTAGAGTAGCGAAGCTTTTTAGGAAACTTATTAACATTTTATGGAGTGTGTCATTTCACTAGCAAATTTAACATTGATTATAATGAAAAATGTTTTACCGCACGAGTGCTATGATTAGAGTGACGCAAAAAATGCTTATGTGAAGAATTGATGTTAACAAAGCATTTTTCTCCACTCTGTATAGATATTCTGAGTTCTCACTGGAACTGAATTTCTATAACATCCCTTCCCAAAATGTAGTGATTTACTCCTGCTGGGTTCTTCAGGGCTAAATATTGTTGTTGGGGTTTTTTTTCTGTGGCTCACATTTGAAGCATTGGGGGTTCTTTCTAAACAAATACATTGCCTTTTGGTTGGCTTGAAGCACTCCAAGAAAGTAGTACTGTGGTAGTGAGGTAGCCTTGGAGAGTAACAGCCTATATAGAAAACATTTCCCTTCCTAGGGTTCATTTAGAAGCTTGCAGTTGGAATTAACAGCCTCTTGATGGCACTTTGCACCGCAGTAATTGCCTCTTCCTTGCTTTAACCATTTGAGTTAGCAGCTCCTTGCAGCCTCTCTAGCAGCTGTATTCTTAAACTTTCCTCCTCGTCTCCTGAAATGAAATTAAATAGAGAATATGGACATAGTCATAACTCCTCCCAAGTGAGAAACCCAGTGTTCACTACCCAACCAGAACTTCAGAGAAAGTAGCTGCATGTTAGATTTTCTGTGTATGTATTGAAGAGCCCACTTTTATTTGCTTAAAGCAAGGCTACTAAGAATAAAATGATATTTTTTTGAAATAAAACTAAGAGAGTTTTTCTTTTCTACTGTTTTTAAGGTTTGTGGTTCCCAAAACAGTAAAAGAGCAGAAGTCACAGAAATGGGAAAAGCTTCAGTGTCAATTACCATTCTGAAGAATGGCTGATAGCAAGTAGAATAGTTTGAAGATGGAAGGTTTTTCCTATATCAGAACAGAAATACAAGTTAAAAGTAAATGGCAGAATTTCTATTGACTGCAGTGGAGCCAGAATTTGTTTCTAGACACTTGTTCAGATACTGTCCCAAGAAATCTTTCTTTTTCTACCATGATTTAATCTTTACTGTGTATGAAGACCTGACCCTCAATCTAATTTATCACACAAATCACACAAATAATGCTGGCACTCAAAAGCATCACAAATAGGGATCTTTTAACTTTTGATAAGATCAAAATGTGAAAAGTCAAAGAATGTTGTTATGCCTGTTGAACAGCCAAAAAAGATGAATTGTGATGAAATTAGACAAATTTACACATCACAAATATCAGCTGAGTGACATGTGACTTTACACTGACCGTGGATATCGTAGGTTTATTATAATTTTAGAAATTTCTCTCAACCTTCTTATTTTCTGGCAAGGTGTATGAGATGTTAACGATTAAAGCCAGTACTGAATTTTTGTCTTACACCATTTTGTCTTGAATTGTTGCCACACTGAAACTGAAGCAGAGCAATATCTGTATCCAAGATATGACTGAGAGCTGATGTCTGGCTATAACTTAGAGAGCAAGTTATCTTAAGGAGTGAGAGAAAATGAAATGCTCTCTAGAACATTCAAATTTGTTCAGTCATTTCTCTAGCTTGGGTCTGTGATGCTGGTTTGGTGTCAATTAATATTTTTTTCTAGCAAGTTCTATGTCTCCATAGCTAGCATTGTAAAACCATTCCAAGACCGTTTTGCCCAAAGTCAATGCCAGTTCATTTTATTAAAGAATGAGCAAGTTTGTGTTTACTAAAAGCTCTTGACATTTCTTGAACAGCAAAGGTGTCTGAATACGTTAAAAAGCATTTAAGCGTATAAACTGTGAGAATACCACGTATATCCCAGGAATAACATGTTGAAGTCTGTTTTATATCCATATTTTGCTAGTATTGCTGGGTGTCAGGGAAATATTGTAGCTGATCTTCATTTGACGCGCTTCCCTTGTATGCATACTAATCTCTGTATGGTGGCAACATTTTCTGTGCCAATATTTTTAGTAAATGTGGAAGTACATTTATTTTTTATAATATCGTCCAGTTATATAAAAGTAGAAATTTGCTTTTGTGACATAGAGATATTTTTCTTGTACCTGATAGTGTAAGAAAAAATTACAAATACGGAACAAATTTAATTGAACTAAAATATTAATCAAGTGAAAAAGAAAGCATTGTTGTGTGTAGTGCCTAATGTCTAGTTTCTGAACCAAATTTGCAATTTATATAATATAAGAATCAATTTTTCTCGTACACTTCTGCTATGTCAGTTCAATGAGCAAGGTTACTTTCAAGTCCAAACACTAACTTTAAAAATTGTTCCATCAGTTTCAGTCAAAAACTTACTAGGTGTTAAGCTAACAATCAGCCAGAAAGAAATCTTCAGTTCTTTTTACTGCTGGTAGTATTTCAGCAAGGCTAACAAGTAAAGGATTTAATATATTCTAGCTTGAAGTTTTCTTTATTCAGATACAGCTTCAAACACAGGCTTGAGATGCTGATTAAGAACGTAACTTTATGGAGTATGTGTTAATTGTTCCCAAACAGAGCAAAAAAAATGGATGTAGCAAAATGAGGCAAAGGTAGTTTGCATTTAATAAAAAGAAACACAGGCAAGTTGTTTCTCCAAATGAAGTTTGTGTTAGGGTTATTCATTATATTTTCCCCTTTAAGTATCTGAGAGTGGAATTTGTCCTAAATATTTGTGCTTTCTGTTGCAAGCTACTGCATCCTGAACACAAAGTGCAATTAATTTAAAGTACAATGCAACTATCTGATTTTTTTAACAGAAGTTTTTCAGAGCAAAGAAGGGAGTTCATTTCATCATGTTTCATATTTGCAGTATGTTTAACATACATATGATTCTAGTTCTTTAGCATTTATAAGTCTATTTATGCAGATGGACTCCTGAGCCCAGACTTCTTTGACACAAGAGTGGGATTTGGAAGGATGTGGTGCTGTGCCCATGTTGTTGCAGAACTGCAACATAACTAGAGGAAAGCTGATGGTGATTTGTTTGGTCACTGGAAACTGCTCAAAATATCCATATTTTGTTGCAAAGCAATCTCAGCTAGTCAAACTATCATCAGAATTATGTTTAAAGGTGATACAGAGGCATAAACATCCATCCTTCATTTGTGCGTATATAGAACACTTCTCTTTGCTTTAGAAAAAGCTTTATTTCTGTTGTAACTCTATTTATTTTTCTTTTGTTTTCCATAGTGTGTGACATAGTCTCACAGATACAAATGCTGTATTTATTGTTGAGTCTCTGTATGGGTTGGACAATAGGCAGAATGAAGAAATCTCATGGCAGACCTCTTCAGTGGGATTCTACTCCAACATCTACTGGCATTGCTGTAGTAGTTGTTGTTACACAGGTTTGTATTTTATATTCATTCTTATACTGAAATATACAGCTTCTGTTAAGTATGACAGAACCATGAGCAAACTGATTTCAATATTTTATGAGGGAAGGAGTATCAAGACTGAAAAAAAACCCCACAGCATAATGTGCACCCAGTATGTCTAATAGGTAACAACACCTTCTCTTTACTTTAACAATTTAAGGTGTAGCTCCACAGTATGTTTTTGTTCAGTAGTAAAACCACTTAAGAAGTTCCCACAGTTTTCCAAACTCCTGGTTGTGCCAATTGTTCATAGCATTATACTGTAAACCAGATTAGTGGAATGATCTAGATTTAAAAAAAAATTTCAGCACAATCGTATTACTGATCTGATTTATAATGTGATCCTATAAATAGTCGTAATCAGTACAACTGAGGGGTTGTGAACTACATTGTGGGGAGTGACAACAAGCAGCATGAGAGGAAAGATGAGAAAAGCTGCTGTGAGCAATTCTTTCTGTCACCAGAAAAAATTGAAATCCTTAGTGTCCTCCTCTTAGAACTACACAGATAGGATGTCTAATGGTCTTTTCAATCAATTCCCTTTCAAGGGAATTCTTGAAAGGTTCATGTGCAGGATTGGTCTTGCAAATATAAATATACAAATGGTCTGACACATAATTTCATTCAAATATTTTCCATTAGTATAAATTAGAAAGTCAAGTAAACCAGTAACTTAAAAGTAAATTGTAATGGAGATCATCCAACCCTGGTGGTGCCTTTTGTAAACAAATTTTTTTAAATCACAGCATAAAGACAAGAAAATCTGAAAGCCATTGAGAAAGAGAAGAGCAGGGAGGAACTGGAGACAGTAATGAGGAAGAGATTATACAGAAGATTTTGTGCCATTTGAGTAGTATCTGTAATTAGTGCTGCTTCCAAACTAAATAAGTGGACTGCTAAAACGTTAAGAATAGCTGGGAGCTGACATTTCTTGCTAATTAAGAATATAAACCAAAGACTATTAAGGTCAATGTGGCTGTTGAAATTTAAAGATAGGTTCATTCCACCTTACTTTGACACCCATCTAGCACCAGAAATTTTACATGCTCGTAGTAAAGAAGACTTCTGAACTATTTAATTTTATTCATGCCTCTCCGCTTTTATGTACATATGGGTGTGTTAGTGCTCTGTCACTTGTGATGGAAAGTTTTTTGTTGTTTCCTTTTTACTATACATAGAAAGGACACTTGAGTATCATCAGCTTGATCTTTTTTTGGGTTGTTACATGTGGTAGAAATTGGGACAGGTATCAGATGTATGTGCTGCTTCCCCCAGTACTGGTCCATTACACATTTGTGTTGGCTCATTGAGCACCCCTGGAGCATTGGCACAAAGTTGGCTATCTTACTTTTCGCCATGAAGGCACAGCTTTACCACATCTCTCTTCCTGGTACCGTTGGGAATGTCAGGTTTGGCAGGAGTCTTGTAGGAACAGAATATGGATATCAGAGTACATCATTGCCTGGGTGATTTTGCACCCCCATCTTAGTGTCTGCTGTCTCCAGCAAAAGTTCCCTGACACCAAGAGTATCCTTGCCTCTTGTGGAGAGGATGTTTTCCATCTCATAGTTCAGTATATACAAAATACACATTTTGCCAGATTACTTCTCCTTAATACAGAATGCAGCTGTTGGTCTCAGGATCCAGACTGCATCACTGCTATCAAAGGTGGTGACCTCAAGACTTCATTGTCTGGATTCATCTGTTGTTCACTGGTCTGTTTAGGTTGACGCAGGTGTTGGACCTGCTGTAACAGGGCAATCAATGAGCACTTTTAATGATTAAAATAGAATAACCTCCTTTCTGTCCTGCTCTTTCCCGGAGATGCTTATGGAACAGCCAGCTTCCTCCCATGCCAGAGGTTGGACAGACTTACATGGATAATCAGAGGCGTTCTGAGGACTTGCTGTGGAGGGTGCTGGAAACCACATGCTTTACCCCAATGCAGCAGTCAGAGATTGAACTGTGTTAGTTTTATTGACCTACACTGCCTGTCCTCATTTTCAGGGAAGTCAAGCAAGTGGACAGCCTGTGAAAACATGTTATTCTTCAACTTAACTGCAGTTTTGACTGGCAAACTATCTGACCCTGTTTGCCTGCTACTAGTTCAAATTACTCGGCAAATTTTCAGGGTTTTTTGTCCTCTTTGTACTGATGCTATGGATTCTTTCTCTTTGTTCTTTCCGAAATGTCAGCTATTTCCCGGGCTATGTTTACAGGTTGCCATCAGTGTAAGGTGGACACAGCCGCCTAGTCAGAAAATCTCTTGTGGTCTTTGCGGCTGCAAAGACGTAGCATCTCAAAGGAGGGACAAGCCTGCCATTCAGCACCTCCCTTTGCCTTAACTTGTTCATTATTTAAGCCTCAGAACAAAAGATTCCCAGGCCACTCTGTATTCATTAAAGGTTCTGCTCTGCTGCCGAGATGCAAACCTTCTTCAAAATGTTTTCTTGATGGCAGGCCTTTCCCATCAGATAGACCTGAGCAGTTTCTGTTTTCAAGGCCGATCGGAGTGGAGGCAGTGATTCTAGAAAGACAGCTGATCACTTTGAACCTGTTCAAAGACGGAGTCTTACTGCGTTAGACATCATGCTTCACAGGGGTACTTAGGTATACCCCAAAGGTGTGCTCAGAGTGAGCTCTGCCTCTAACCTTAGATCTAAAACATTTTTTTTACTGTACTGGCATTGCATGGCATCAGGTACCCAAGTAGTAGATACAGTTAGAAGCAGCTAGTTAATCCACTTTGCTTGCTGCTACTTTTAATTTCCCTTTTGCTTCCCCCTTACCCTGGCCTCTCAGAGATGATCTGTCCCATCAGAACCTGCCTTTCCTGGAGATCAATACGTTATCTTGGCTTACCATAAAGTTAATGTTGGCATAGTGAAGGGGAGGAGGCGTTCTACTGTAATTGTTTCCTCATGACAAAAAGAGTGTCTGGTTCTTCATTGTATGGATGTGGAGTTTCAAGATGATGTCCGTGGCAAACATTCTTCTAGCAGTTGTGGAGGGCGACCAGTGCTGGACAGTGGTTCATGCCCACTGTGAACCAAGATAGGTCAGGAGTATGTGCAGGTGAAGTCAGGCATTTTGAACAGTGTATTATGTAAACAAGGAGATGATCATTCTCCCTCGCTTTATGAAGGAGTAGTTGTGACTTCAATGTTGAACATAGCTAGTGCGAGTCAGCTCTTCAGCTAGCTCATCTAGTTCTGTTGTCTACAGCCTAAGCAGAGTCATTCTTCTGTATAACAGTTAGGATTTTCCCCCTGATTTCTTCTCAGAGCTCAAACATAGTTCTGCTCACTGCCAACAATAAAATGTCTCTAATATCCGCTTCAGCAAGTTGGCATCTGGGTGTTTTCTCAGCTTGTTCCTGATACCGCAGCTAAGTGAGCTGATGTATGCCATTCTGCGGTCAAGGTAAGGGACTTCAGGGCTTATTGACCTTAATTTCTCAGGCATAGCCAGCCAAAGAGATTTTTACTTCAAGATCATGCTTGTCTATGAAAGCTCTTCCTACACTGAGAACAGATTGCCTAATCCATTGTTAGCTAGAAACACTCCATAGCACAGATTTCTCTGTTTTTTATAGGATCCTGTTTTTCTCTGGTGAGTGAGAACAGTCCCAGCTCATAGTGAGAGCAATGATGTGGGTTCACCTTGTCCGAGTTTCCAGTGTGTTGCACTGACGGTTCCATCTCTGCCTCAAATGCCTCTGCCTTCTGCTTATTTTGGAATAATCTAACAGAACTGAAGGAAGCTGGACTTCTGTGATCTTGCATTGCTGTCACTACACGCAGTCTTTGCTCAGCTGATTCCTGTGTTGTTAACACAGTTTACACTCTTTATAGGGCTAGTCCAGAGCATACCCTGCTGTCAGACATTATTTTCCCATGAGAATTTGGACTTGGTTCTCATGATTCCTTTACTTCAGCGCTTTCTCATCTTCTCATGACAGTGGCTTCCTTCATTGCTGTTACTATTGGTGTAGATTAAGGAAAATTCAGACCCTCATGAGCTCTGTTCTTTAGGGTTAAGCTGTCCCTGGGATCTACCCAGTTTCTTCTTAAAGTAGTATCACGGTCCCATCTCCATCAGCTTGTATTTCTTTCTCCTAGATGCATGCTTTAGTCAGGAAGATTTGTATGTAGGTGGATTGTTGGTTGGGTTTTTTTTTTTGTTGTTTTTTTGCTTGTTTGTTTGTTTGTTTGTTTGTTTGTTTGTTTGTTTGTTTGTTTTCTCGGGCAGTGTATGTCCATCCCAGGGAAGTTTAATACTTTGGCTATTCCCAAGTGTAAATGTCAAACAGGAAAATGCTCTGTACAAGACTGCAGTGATTTTTGTAACTGTGGTAGAACCCTTGTTTGTTGGCTGAGCATGTTCTACCTGAACTGAAATAACTTCTGTGATAGGAATTCATCGATTTCATGCCAAAGCTAGTGCTGTAGACACAACTTTACCAAACACCATGCTGTATCTCGGGAGCCATTTAGTCTTATTTCAGTCTTACTCCTTGACAGAATTCTCAGTCAAGCAATTTGATCATTTGAAGGTGTTTGCTTGGAGTTACTCAGAAGTAGAGTGTTATGTTGGGAACTTTTGAAGCATGTTGGTCTGATTGTTTACTAGTAATCAGTGATGTTCAAGACTTGCATGCTTCACATCTGTCCCTCTCCCATCCTTCCATTTTCCATCCAGGTAGTTGAGGAGTGACTGAAATAACAGTCATGCTTGCTGTGTCATGGCCTGAGTAAGGGAGGGGAAAAGCAAGAGAGTACTCTTTAAGGGTATTCTAAGGAAAACTGATCCTGTCTTAACTGATGGGAGTCAAGGACACCCACCTTTGGAAGGAACAGGTGGATTACACGTTTTAGGAAAAAAAGTTACTATCAGTAACCTTTTTGTCTTTGTGTAGTTAATGTAGTGAGAGAGCCTTTGAATGTGTTCAGAAAGGAATCTGACTAATTTAGATTCCTAAATTGAGGCATACAATGTCTGCTTCTGAAGGTCTTCAGAGGTACCTCACTCATATAAATCAAATTTGCCTACCTTTCTTCAGAAAGCCTGCTTCATTAGACACCTGAAACCTAAGTGCAAGTTAGATGTGTGCCGTAGGTGGACTGGATTCCAGTGTATATTCAAGTCTCAAAGTGACATTCAGCTGCTACATGATGCTGGGAGAGTCTAAACTTCATGGATATTCTAATTTATAACGTTAACATTCCCAAGGCCTTAAAAGGGTATTCTTCAGCAAGACCAAATTTTTATGCAGCAAGTAGGCGCCTGCCTTCTACCCAACTAAGATTCAGAAACTAGGCACTTCTTAGTCTATTTTTCCTTAGAGAATCTATCAGTATTCTTTCTCACGGTGCTCCTACAAAATAGGATTCTGTAGCAAAAGGATACAGTGCTGAGAGTGAAGGAGGATTACTGCCTTTTCTGTAGTTGTCTCTTGGCTAGAGCGTTTGTCCAGATGTTGGAACAGCATTTGGCACCTGCAACGCTCCCTTTCCTAGACCCTAGGGTTGCTTGCAGAGTCAGGCTTGCTCGCAGTTTCTGACCTAGCTGATGTTGAATTCTTTTCTCCACAATGGCACAGCTTCAGTAGAAGGGGTGGAGAGTGGCCCACCCAAGAACAGCCTATAGCCTGGCAGTTGGGGCACTCTCCAAGGAGGTGGGAGATGCGAGTTGGATATCCTTTAGGCAAAGAAGGGAATTGTGGGAGATCCAAGTTCAACCTGGGTGAATGCTTGAGCCTTTAGGCTATTGCATAAAAGGGGCAGCAGCACCACCCTCTTACTTCCCCATGTTTAAAAAGAAAAGTGAATCCTGTTAGGATTTTGAAAGAAAAGGCGTAGTCACCTGCCTTTGAAACAAGCTTTACAGGTTGTGGATCCCAAGTGGAAGGAGACACCTCCCCGTAGCTCTCTGCTGAGTAGGCCGACTGTTTAACTAGATTATTATTTTGGATCTTATGCTAAGGTGCCACATTCCTTCTGTCCAAATTAGAGGAAACTTTAATTTGTCAAACTTTACTGAATGCAAGAAGTGAGACTCCTGCCAGTTGCACTTGGAGTAATAGATAGTGCCAAAAAGCTGTTCAGGCTGGGTTTTTTTCTGTAACATGGTGGTCTCCAACAAGCAGAGCAGAGTATGACCAGTTGTGCAGATAATTTAATGTGATGGGAAGATTCACTGAGGTGCAGTGTAACCTCAGTTACACTAAATGTACTTTGCTGCCGTTGTTCTCTTCCAGAGCTTTTTATTAATTTGGGAGCAGTTTGAAGATACGAATCACCACAGCTACCATTCACACCATGGCTTAGCGAGTGGACTGCTTATTGGCCTCAGAGTTTGCCTAGCTGTGTCACTGGCTGCTGGTCTTTACCAGATCATCACAGTGGAGAGAAGCACGCTGAAGAGGGAGTTCTATATCACCTTTGCTAAAGTATGGGTTGCATCACAGAAACCGATCGCTTCTGCTGTAAATATAATTGTGGCATGCAGTTGACTCAAGCACTAAATTCTTTTCCTCCATAAGAAAGTTAATGTTTAAGTGTCTGATTTGATTAAATTGCACCCTGTCATCATACTCTGAGTAGTTGTTTTAATTTGACAAGGAGTATAGAGCTTTTTTAAACAGAAATCCCACCTTTCATTGTGTGGTTTTCGTTCTGTTGATTGAAAATTAAACAATGGGTTCATAAAATAGACAGAAATGTAAATGCAGTTCCTCTAACTGTCATCTCTTTCTTCTGAGCTGGCATCTAGTAATTTTATAACTTATACTCATCTTCTCTTTCAGGCCTGCATTCTCTGGTTTTTGTGCCACCCATGTCTTGCATCCATTTCTGTAATATTCAGAGAATATCAAAGAGAAAAGGTATGTACAGGCAAGATAAAAGAGGATGGAATTTGAATAGTAGTTGTTCTTCATGTTTAGTGTTTGTTAGCAAACTCATGCTCTTAGGCTGTTAATCTTATGACCCCAAAGCAACTTGAAAAGTCTTAGTCACACAGCTCTCATTGATGCTAATGTGAGTCATATTTTACAAAGGCATACAAGGTTTGAATCATCTAAGGGTAATCTTTTTTTTGGGGGGGGGGGGGGGGTGGATTGTTAAGTCAAAGGAAAATGTGGAGGGGGTGTTTCATTTTATTGTTTGCTTGTTTGCTTTTTAATTAAAAACACCTTGGGGATTCTTTTAACAAAGCTAGTAGAAAGATAAATCAGTGGATTTTTTTGTTGTTGTTGTTTGCTTTTTAGTCTTCATCCTTTAAAAGCTTTATGTAGCTAAATAGGTCGGGGAACCTGTAGCTGAACTGTATTCTTTAGATAAAGAAATCTGTCCAAATATGTAGTTTGGTTTGTAAGCTCTAAACAGTTAAAAACAAAGGTGGACTCACTGGGTCTTTCGGTTGCTTAAACGGATTGGGAACTAGAGAACTAGTGTGTGGAGCCTGCCATGTTCAGACGAAGTGCACAACTAATCTCAGGTGACTGACTACCTCATTCCGGGGTAGAGTTTGCTTCTTTTCTTTATGGTTATAACCATCTGTGCATTTGTAGGCAAATGTTTTTGGAAATTGAGCTTTTATTTGTGTAGAGGATATATACAAGAAAGAAAAAGGTTCCACTAAAATTACATAGTAAATGAAATACCGTGTTTGATTTGGGGGGGCGGAAAAAAAGGAAAAAAAACTAGGGAGAAAAGAGACTCTTCTAGAGCTACTAATGAAGCAACTTTTTGTTGTTGCTTGATGAAAACATCATCAGGACTGGGGGACAATCTCTAGAGATGGGATCAGTAAAGGAAATTTTTGCAATATTTTGAGATTTTGAGCTTACTCAAGGGACGTTACAGTTGCTCTGCTCTTGCATTTGAGCAAATTTAACCATTGTGTGCAGCTGCAGTTCCTACATTATGATAATTTAGCTGTGTTTCCTTCTTTCAGTGCACTTCAGTGCAATAAAGAAATGCATGATCAGTAAATATCGTATTTGTTTAAAAAAAACCCCATGCATTTTAAAAGACTCTGTACATAAACTTAGACTTTTGCTTTCTCAGAAACAGTAGTTACCTGTGTGTGATAAATATTGCCTTACACATCTTTTACAGATGAAGAGAATTGCACTGAAAAGAGGTCTGGCTAAGTGAGGCTGATAAATCACTATCCTCACAGCTCCATGATTGTGCTAGTGCAAAGTGTTTCCAGGCTTCCCCCCCGCCCTGCAACTCTGTTTGTTGTAAGAATAGAATATCTAAACATCACCTCTGCTTGTGAAACTGCATGGGTGGTGAATTGCAAGTCTGAAATTCCCCAGAACAGAGACCGCCAGAAGGGTTATGTGACTTGCCCGGGGCTATCTACTGATTTAAAAACACCCAGGTGTGAGAGACTGAATCCTGGGCTTGAGATTCATGTTCAAATCTTTTGTAACTGCAGCAGTATGAAAAGGTTTAAAGTTAAACCTCAAGCATTTACACAGTATGCTGATAGAAATTTATTGTGGGTTGTTTGGTGTTGCTTTTTTTTCACTTACTTTTTCCTTTTCTCTCTTTGTTGTCTCTAGATTATTACCATAGGTGTTATCCTCTGTCAGTGCATCTCCATGGTTATCCTCTACAGACTTTTTCTATCTCATAGTCTATACTGGGAAGTATCTTCACTGTCATCAGTGACATTGCCACTAACAGTATCCTCTGGACATAAAAATCGACATCACTTCTGAGATGTTTAGGAAGAAGACATTATGTAATAAATGTGCAATAATGATCTAAATATACAGGTATTTTTGTCATAGGTGTGTGATACATTGGTTTCACTGGAAGAATGAGTGATAATATCAGAGCACTTCATAGACCTCTGGTCTCACAAGGTCCCTAGATTAATCTGTTAAAAGTATTACGTAGTGGAAAAATTCATAATTTTAATAATTTTATAAATATTGTTTATGTGTAGTATGTGGTGCTGAGCTGTATCACAGAAAAATATAATGAATCTTTTCTCTCCCATTCACAGCCACAAAAAATGTCCTTACTTTATATCAATACTAGGTTTGAAGGTCTTACAAAATGCAGTTCTTAAAACATGTACAAGCTCAAACAAGTCTGAAATAGGCCAGTTGTGAAATTGGTGTGATGTGTAATGATGAGTACAAGTTCTTTTACTTTCATGCTTTAGAGAAAATGCATTTTATGCGTAAAAGAAGGGGAAACAAAAGAGGAAGAGTTCTCTAGAAAACACAACTGACTGCGAGAAACCTTCCTTTATTATTGGTGTAAAAGAAAAGCCTTTTTTGCAACTAATGTTCATACTGGCTAAAGTTTTAATGCAAATGAAGACAGGGTTTATATCTGCCATTTTTTTAAATAAATGTAACTAAAAATTCCATACAGTAATGAAGGTCTAAGCAGTATTTGAGGCTCAGAAGACATAGCAACATAAAGGTAATTAAAACAGCAGGCTCACATCTTTTAAAGAAAAAAAAAAAAAGCAAAGAAAATGGAATGGGTGATGTGGTACTAGAATTTTAATCCTGATATAATTCATTTCTGTTACATTGAGGATTCAATCATAATTAAGCCATATACACAGATTAAATTAACAGAAGCATTTCAAATAAATGTTGGTTTCAGTCATCAACTACCCATGAATTCCTGCCCAAGGATACTTAATCAGGATTAAATTTTCTATGAATAATTGAAAAACAAAATACTCACTGGATTTGTTATAATCCATGTTGGCACTGGGTTCTAAGTAGTTGCCATCTTCCATCCATTGTAATAAAGCCATACTACTTTGTGATGCCCTAGCATTCAGAAAGCCAGTGTAAATATATACTTTATTGAAGTGCCTATTTATTGACTGTGATTAAATCGTGCTGACATTTTTTTTTTCCTTCGTAATAACATACCTATTGCCATTGTGACTGAAATCTTCCGGTTTGGATTTTCTTCAAAAATTTGTCAATTTTTTTTACTTCTTTCGATATGTGTGTGTTTTTCCATAACATAGATTTTATTTTCTGGTAAACAAATGTTTGTTTCTTCTTAACAGTGTGTATTTAATTATGTCTCCATGAAAACATGAAGGCACCAGTGTTATAGCTTTAAAATAGCCCTAACTTTTCCATTCACGTTTGCTTCAGTTGTGAGCATAGTTGAAACATAAGTCTATTCCATTTTAGTTTAGAGGCAAAACTAGACATTTGCCTTTGACTAAGGCAAAATGGCAACATGACAACGTTGCTCATTAAATCATCTCCTTTCTTATTGTTTGTAATTCAGATCAAGAATGGCAGGTTGAGGCTGGAAAAGATGAGATATTATGATTTCACACAATCTTCAGAATGATTAAAAGATTAATTATTACATTCCTCTGATAACCACACAAAAATATTATTGGTTAAAACTTCAGTCTTTATTTCCCTGCTTATCTCTCTACTTTTCATCTTCTCAAGAAAAAAGCATCCTGTTTTTGATAAATCTCCAATAATGCAGTGGAAGAGTTCTATCTGTCCTCATGTATAAGGCATGAAATTCACGCATAAAATAGAATTTTCTGATAGACACAAGAACTACTTTACGGTTTATGATCCATCATGATAAAAGTTTTAATCTATGCAGACAAACCTGTATGTGACTTTCAGAAGAGGTGCTCTATTTGTGTTGTTCTCCAGAAGTATTTTCTTACTTCCTGTAGTCCCTCTGACTTCAATCGGTCAGTATTAAGGTAAATGGTATCTTAATTTCACCTTATAAATACACCCCACAACAATTCATAAAATTAATTCAGAATTCATAGTTAATCTGTGTATAAATATGAAGCAGAAGATGTTGTCTTTTAATCTTTTCCTGATTGCCTCATAAGTCAACAGGTAACATCCTCTTAGTTTGGCATTGAATCCAACAATTTGAAAATAAAATTTTAATTTTGCTATTAATGTAACTGTACCAATTAAGTATCACTTTCTCGTGGCAAGCGGTACAAAAGGCAGGCATTTCTGTCCAGGTCTGTTAGCATTCCTTATAACCAATACTCACTAATTTTACATTCGTAAATCATCAATGCATGCTGTCGCAGTAGGTCAGTATGACTGCAGCAATAGTCAAGATGTCGGTTAATTCGGTACAGGACATCTTTGGGCAGAGTCTTCAAGTACAACTAATTTATGAAGCTTCATACTTACCTGTACTCTAGCTTGAAGCTTACTGCCTCTGGATCGTGCCTGAAGCGTGATTTGAGTATGTGAAAGCCTATCTCTTCTTCCTAACTTGCATCTTCTGTGAGACCAGCTGATAAGACCTTGCTTTTTTCATGCTTATTCACACAGCTACCCATTTTATCAGTGTGGTTTCATAACCTCATCTCGAAAGAATAGCTTCCAGCCTTCTTTCAGCTGCCTTCAATCAGCGCATCATGACTGGAAAACTTTTTCTTTCTCTTTTTCTAAAACATGCTTTCTGTTAAAAAAAAAAAAAAGTTTTCAGTCACAAACTTGGGCTCTTGCCAACTCACCTGAGCAAGTCCCGATGGACCCTACATCAGCTGTGCGTTAGGTGACTGCGGTGGACAAAAGCACACCTCCCGTAGCCCCGGTGTGTGAGTGGTGTGTGTTTGTGCCCGCTGACAGCTTCTGCGCAGCCGCGGCATTCTCAGGAAGAGCTACGGCAGCCCCAGGCTCCCGGCCGTCTTGCTGCTGCGAGGGGCTGAAGCGTGTTCCCCCTGAAGGCAGCGCGGCCGCTGCTGACCCTGGTGAAGAGAGCTCTTCAGTTGAGGTTGAATGGCGGCATCTCACTTGAGAGTTTCTGTGCAATATGGAGTTGTGTTTTAAATAAAGTTGCAGTTAACAAGAGTATATGAATCCTGTTGCCTGCGCGTTTCAGTGTTGGGAAAAGATAAGGGTATATTGACATGACAGCAAACTGAAGTTGGTTGTGCTCTGAAAAATTCCATTTCTATGTGTGAGAGGGCATCTCCTTTGCCAGCCATCACCTTTTCTACCGGCACAGATGCCAGTTTGCATCAATTATGATTGGGGGTGAGGGGGTGAGTATCATGGTTCGGGCGAAATGACGGTGAGGTCACCAACTCAGTCTACGAGACCCCCCACGAGCTGTGAGGAGGGATCATCTTGTGTTGCTCCTGACCAGTGATGAGGAGGCTGGAGCAGTTCTAGGGCTCATCACAGGTCCCCTAAGCTGTTTGCTTCCCTTCTGTGTAGAGTGTGTTTATTGTACAATTATTTAAAGTGCTTCAGGTAGGAAAATGAATATTTACAATTAAATATATGTAAATGGAAATGGAAAGGTTTGATGGGAAAAATATCCAGTTTCTAATACATATTACTATACCAAGACCTCCCACACAAGACAAACGTTTATAGTCAGATCTAATGAATATTCCTTTCTGGTTCCTGTGCCAATGGAGAGCCATGGAAGTATCAAAATCTTTTTGTTTGCGTCTCGATCCTCTACAGAACTGGAAGAATATTAGATTTGGCTCTAGTTTATTCTGTGCAATATTATGCTTCTAGCTGATACTTTTTAGAGAATACATTAAATGTTTATTGGGCTGGCCAAAGGTGATGTTATGCTCTACCTTTTAACTCTTTGTATGGGACTATGCAATGTACAAAGGGCAGGTGATCCTTGCTAATGTCAAACATTAAAAGAGAAAGTATTAAGCTGTTTTTCAAAGGATCATTCTTTTCTAACCGCACTGATGCAACTGGACTGTGATTTTCCAGCGAACAGTAAGTTCCAATTCCAGTTTTTCTTCAGCCATTATTTTCTGCAGGTTTTCCCTGTCTTGCGAATCCCATCTCTGCCACCACTCTCTGTCCCTGCCCTCCCCTCTTCCCCTCTCTCACACATAGGATTTTGAGTGTAATGGGTGTCATTTCTCTCTCGTATCTCTCCCATCTGTTCCCACGATCAACACTCTCAGTCCAGCCCCTACTTTGCATCTAGTATGCGTATTCTCTTTATCCTCGGTCTGTTTTGATTTCACGCTTTTCCTGTCTCTCCTTTGCCCTCTCTACCATGCCTTTAATCTCCCTAGCCATCAGAGACCTGAGGGTGTGGTTTGACATCGCAGCTGATTTGGGCTGTTAGCTGCCAAAATAAAAAAGTGTGTCCCTGTCGTCCTGGCTGCACGTTGCTCTTGCTTCCCTTGAACTGACACTGGCTGTCACCTAGCAGTTTAACTGAGATGGAGTTGTGGAGTTAAACTGGTAGAAAACTCTGCCTTTAGCAGCAGCTAGAAGAAAAAACAAATTCGTTCTCTGTGGTTTTAGCTCACTGAACCAGGTCATCGGGATTTGACGAGTACCAGTGGCATTGCTGGGGCTGGGGTAGAAAAGCCATGCTGAGGAGGGGTGAGATCCCCTTTAGAAGGGCAGCTGCAAGGCCAGTCAGTCTTTCACAAACTATCAGCCTTGTAACTCCTCCATCTCCCTCTCCTGTATGTCTTCTGCTGCATTTTGCGTGCTGAGGATTGGCCTGACCCTTCCCTAACAGCTCGCTCTCTCGATAGTAGTGTCAGGGCAGGTTTTCTCCCAGCAAAAGGAAAACTATTTGGCTGCTTTAAAGTATTTGAAAATGGATAGGGTCAGTTGTGCCTTTGCAAGCCTTACGAAAGGGGCAGGGAGGCATCACGAGCAGACCCCAGTTTGAGGAGAGAGTCTTGAGGGGAGAAAAGACGAGCACCATGAAAACAGCCACGACTTGAGTGGGTGCCAGTTTTTTTCAACGCGTGGCAGCACTGTGGTAGAGAAGGCAACCAAAAAGATCACACAGGTTTTCAGAAGGTCTGCCTGTGGGTAGGGAGAGACTTAATCCAAACAACTGCAACCCAAAGAGCAAAGGTTTCCAGCAGCGGGTACTCCGGAAGGCTGCTTTTATCTATCTATTTTTGCTAATCTGCTGAGATGTGTGACTTCGTGAGGCTGTGGTTAGGATGGCGAGGATCTGTCTCGCCTCGTGGTCAAGTGCTGATGAGTTTGCCCAGGCTGGCAAGTGAGTTTGGGTTTTAATGCTGCTGCAACAACAACCCCCAAAAAACTGATTCATGGAGGCTGCAAATGAGCAACCTGAGGAATCTCTTCTTTTTTGATACAGTAGGTAGAGCTGAAAGACTGCACGTGTACCTCGTTAG